ACCTTTCGCATTTCCCCGCTCAAGTGATAAATCAATCAGCAGCCAATTACCACGGAACGGCACCAGACAGGTGCTTCCCAGGCCGCCGTGCGAAGCGGCTCAAAAGGCCCAAGCGACAAGAGGTCTGCGCGCGCTGTGGCGCATACCGTCCATTGCCTCCAGCCGCGCGAAGCGGTGCAAGAGGATGCAACGAACCTTTCCAAAATCAAAATTTAATTGCACATCCAAGGGGGGGAATTCAAATCTGGAAAAGAGGTAAAACGTCCGGATGCGACCTCAGATTAGGAAGATAAATCGAAAAACGAAATATCGTCACAAGCCCAATTTCCGGGAGACACACTCCGGCCAGAAATCGGGTGCTCAATTTCTTCCCATCTCTGAATCCATTAGGATATTTCAAAATCTGCAGATGCCGTTTGGTGGCGTCGATATAACACAAGCTAGCCTAAAAATCACCATGGAATTTCCTTATATGATTAGGCCAATTCGTTGGCCAATTAACATGCTATACAAGACGAATTAACGCCTTTATTTCATTCAATTGCTATATATTATCAATGAATATCAAGAGAATATTAAATCGTCCACGAGGAGGATTATCGATATAACCCAATTCCAAGAAAGAAATATACCTAATATGGAGTTTCAATTAAATATTAATATCAAAAATTTAACTATATTCAATAAAATATAATCGCTCAAATTTAATATATTGTCTATAATTCGGATGCTTAAGCATCCATTTTAATAATAATATATCGCAAATACATCCAAATTGCAATTTATTGTATATTAATCTCCCAATCTCCTAATCATTTAACAACATAATTAAAACCCAAGAAAAAATATATAAATCTTATATTTTTTTTGGCCTTACACTATAATACATTAATTATTTATTTTATAAATTTAATATATATATATATATTCAAATCCTTTAATTTATTTTTAATTATTATCTATATATAAATACATATAATCAATATATCCAACTATATATATCATATATTTCAAATTATTATTCATCAATTTCGTATATATATATATATTAATCAACAAAATTTTATATTATAATATAACTTAAATAAAACTATTTTATAATGTATATTGTTTTTAAAAATTTATTATCTTTATAAAAAAATATTTATTTATAAAATTTAATATATTATATATTTAAAATGATATATATATATACGACATATAACCAATAAATATATAAATTCCGCGATAAATATATTTCCGCCCTAGGACAAAAAAGACCCAGAATTTCAGCCGGAAGATCTTCTAATAATATTTATATAAATATATCATGCAATATATATATTCTGAAATATGTTTTCATTGATTAAAACGAGGCCAATTTTGATCGAAACCCGTGCCGTAGATTCCCACAGCACGCGGAACGATCCAGACTGGGCGCAATTCAGCTTACGCAGCTTGTTTCTGGCGGGAAAAAGCAAGAACCCTATGGTCTTTTTTCAACTTGAGGGTTCAAAGGGTCTAAGACTTGGTAGGCTCTCCGATGAGGAAGACAATTGGGGCCTTCCCAAAGTCAAGCAAGCTGCAGGCAGGAGAGAGTCTCTCCGACAAAAATGAGACAGAAAAGCTCAAGGGACTCAAGGAAGGCATCGCACCAGCTGACGACCTGCCAATGGCCACATGCGACGGAGCTACAGCACCTGTTTCTGATTGCAAAAGGATTCATCTGGAAGATGTGTCGCAATATTACACCTTCGCAAGAAATATATAGAAATATTAAGAAATCAAAAACCATTTACCAGGACCTTCAAAGTGACCGAACTTGAGATCCCAGGACAGGCCTGTAAAAGGCCACTTAGAGACTCCAAAGAGGTCACTTTGAAGGTCCCAGTAAGTGGCTCTCATGTTTTGGTAGCCCAAACAGGAATGCTTCTGGTTAGCTGCCCCAGGTCCAGGTGATCCCGCAACATCATATACAGAAAGACCGGTTGCACTTCCAAAGATGCGTGGAAACATGCCTGGCCGAATTTTCCAGCGAGCGACTTCCACATGAGAGCAGGGGTCGATGGTTCCAATATGTTCCAATGGTTCCAATTCCACAAATGAACAGGCTCTACCTGTTCTTGTCTGCATGCGTCTACTGTAGCGTGCCAGCTTACCCCACTTGATCCCCTGGCCTCAACCCACCTGCCGTCCAACTTCCTTCAAACGGATGTGCGCCTTTGCGGAGGCGAACGCGAAGGTATGGCAGGTTGGAGGGAGGGAAGGTATGGCAGGGCATCTGAGAATGGAACATTTATATATTGGGATGCATCTCTGCCAGATTGTGCAGTGTTGAACGCAGGGAACCTTCCCTCTGCCTGGGACCAAAATAAAGAGAATACAGCAGGCAGCTGCTTCAAGTACACAAACATGGACGCATTCAATCAGGTGGCGCACCTGGGGGAGCCGTAATCGGGTGGAAACCAAAAGGAAGTGGGCACAGTAAGTTGACGTCATTGAGTCATATCGAGCACTCGAACAAACAGGACCTAAGGAAAAGCAAGGATCTTCATCAATGGCTAGTGGAGCTTGGCTCATTCACTTGTACACATGTGAAAACGCTTTTGTCTGAGCCAGGCTAGGCTATCTTGGCTCAGCTCTCAAAGCAAATACGGTCTTTTTTGTCACAGCTCTGTTGAACAACGTGAAGAGTCAACCGCACCTGGCTCGTCCCAACATGTGTTGAACTGTTAAGATAAGTCTGGGAGCCTCATTCATCTCGCTTTCCAGGGTCCTGCTGAACTGTTAAGATGAGTCTGGGAGCCTCATTCATCTTGCTTTCCAGGGTCCCACAGCCATCCTCTCAGGTCCCACTGCCATCTTCTCAGGCCCCTAACGGTCTTGCCCTTCTTTTCTGAGGATAACACCTGAAGACTTCACTTCGGCCGGCGCGGATGCGCAGTCCCATCGGTGGTCTGTCTTCGAAGCCGCGCGGTAAAAGAAGACCGCGGTATTGGAAGAAACACCTATCAGTACAAATCCATTGTATCGTGTGTCCATAAATGCAGCAAAAAGAACCTTTAGGTGCAAACCACGGTCATGCACCACTGGAGGGGTTGTACCATTGTACCTGTTTGGCAACCTTCACGCTACTGTATGCCCCTCATAGAATTATGGTCCAGGCAGCGGAAGTATTGGTGAAAAAGAAGCTGCTCAGGCCCGCAGAAGAAACACCCAACTTGTGCAAAGACGACCGACATATGTTGATCCTACTGACCTACTGGTAATGATGGTTAGGCTGCAGGCCTTGTTCAAAAATAGTGATTTGCTTGTTTACTGACTGTTACAGGCTTACTGGGCCATCATACCCAACACATATCAACACTTCCCTTGCACATGCATCTCCTCTCAGAAACCCGGCTTTCATAATGTTTTTTTGCCATGCCTTACAGGGGTGTGTGGCTGAGCAGGCAATTGGTGGGTTCCAAGACTTGTAAACTATCAGTACTTGTAAAACTGCCACAACTTAACCACACGAATCTAAAACCGTGTTTAAATGTGTTTAACACTCCACTCTGTCACCCGGTTTGCCAGGGTCATCTACCTTCAACATCTTTCAAAAAAGGTGGATTTCCCGTGAAGCCCCACACCGGTGACCGGTGGATCTCCGGTGACGCCTTCAACTGCGTGCCAGGCAGGAGAATACTTTCACTCTCATTGGCATAGAAGCTCAACTGCCAGCCGGGGGATGTAGCGGATGTCGCGCGTGCATGTGGGGTAACCGCCGGATAACCCCCCTAGGGAGATTTGGTGGGGCATCCTCATCCAAGAACCCTGGAGTCAGTCCTGATGCAGGATCCTTAGGATAATGGAAATCTGAGTCATAGTATCGTCATCATGTTGTATCTTTGCACCATATATTGTACAGTTCCCAATCACGCTTCTTTGGAGGTGTGGCCTCTTTTGGGAATGTTTATATAATAGACATGCAATTATATAACAACTTTAAACCCAGAGGATCGCGGCAATCGAGACACAACACACCAACCAGGAATGAGTCACTACTTGGAACGTTAAGTTTGGATGTCGTGGATCCAAATGAACTTCCTCATCTTCCTCCAAAACCACCTTGAGGTCCCGCCACCCGACCGCCGCCACAGTTCTCTGAACAAAGATCGACTTACCAATGACTTGCCAATCAAAACATCGACTCACCAAGTTCTCTCAAAAACATCATTTTTTTTACCGAAATGAATCCCCACTCAAAGCACGCACTTCGAACCTAGCACTTCCAATGGGTGCCCTGTCTGGAGGCCTGATTCCTTCAGGTAGGGTAGTCTATTGGACACCCAGACAGGATGACCCTGGAAGGTGTCTTTTTTCGACTGACCAATCGACTTTGACCCATGATCTCCGATGCGTCAGGCACCTCGGAGATCTCGCAGGCGGTCTGCGTCTCGACGGTGAGCACCGTGGACCTGTGACTCGACGCGGTGGATGCAGTGATCTTCCAGGGGGTCGGTAGGGGGGTCGGTCTAAAGGGGTGTAGGTCTCATTCGAGGTTTTACGGGATCTTTGGGGACCTTTGGGGATCGTTTGGGGGGGGTGTTACCCATGCTTGTATGCTTGTATCGCTTGTATGCCGTATACCTTCATAACTATGCCTTAGCAGGGTTTAAAGCATATCTGACTTATGGCCTCTGTAATCCAAGCGGGTCAACGGACATATGAAGCGAACATATGAGTGAACGCGCGCGCGTGTCAGCGCGCGTGTCAGCGCGCGTGTCAGCGCGCGTGTGAACGCGCGTGCGTGCAGGCCAGTGAACGCACGAACGATCGTGGACGGGCGTGTCAGTGTACGTATGAATGCGCTGGCCCACACACCCACAAGCATGAACCAGCACTCTGAGAATTTGTTTTCCTTTCGGACAGGGCTGCTGTCGCAAGGCACGTGTATTCACACATGACACCAGCAGAATTCATCTTCTGTACTCGTGAGGCCTCTGAGCCACGCCCTCTGTGCAGGCATGAAAAAACTCTTAGGGCCGTGAAGGAAGGTCCTCTGTGAGAGACTGGACCATTTTTCTAATATCCTCTGCTTCAGACATCTCTGACTCGCTGCTGTATCGCAGGCTGCACATCACCGCCAGCACCACTGCAACAATCACGTTTCCCGCAAACCTTGGATGATTCCTGCAAACCTTTTAAAGACACAAACATTTGAAACTCATTCGTGGCATAGAAAAGTATAAATAGATCCACAACTATGACGCTGACATGCAGGAATCTTGTCTTACTTGCAGACCACACCATACATCCATTAATGTTTTGACAAAGTTGCGCGTTGCCAGCCAAATTCCCAAGCTGGGATTCCGTGAAGCTGGACAGAAAGTCATGATCATATGAATGTCCCTGGCATCTCAACAGCTCCCTTCCCAAGAGTGGCCTTTGCTTTGCAAAGGACCAGGCTATGCTCCTTGGAAGGATCACCGGCAATGAACGGGTTCCTGTTGAGTAACGGTTTGCGGAGTGGTACACATCCGCAACGGACACCTTCTTCTTCATTCTGTACTTGTCATCGGCAGCAAATCCCACCACCTGAAGAATCAGAATCATAATTCATAATCATAATTTCATAGATGAATCATAGACTGGACTCATTTCTAGACAATGACAATAGATTCATCGTAGAGTCATAGCCTAGCAAATGTGATGCGTATGTAACTGCTGTCGTTGTATGTCACTGTATGTATTTGTAGACTGTACGACTACATGAAAATGCATATTGCATACCGCTGCATACCCTTCTTCATTGAGTATTGAACCTCCCGAGCCCTCTTCGTCAAGAGCGGGAACCATTTGGATGCTTGCACTGCCTTTGGAATTTGGAGCGGCCATGGGATGCCTCCTGCAGCAAAGTAAGCCCAGGAATCCCAGACAAGTGTTTGGGTCCAACATGATGATGAACACAATTGGATCACAAAAAAACATACAATGATATGATATGAATCGGAATATGAATCATATCATATCATATGAATTCAGTTCAAAGAATCTTTTCTCTGCAACCGACATATGCAAAGATGTCCATCCACCGTCAGAGTCCGCTACGTCGTCTCTGTCGGAGAGAAACTCAAAGTGTTCTGCTAAGGCTGGGTCATCATCTGGCAACAGAAAGTTCTCCTCAGCAACAGTTGACATACTAACTGACTCTAAAAAAAACTGAAGTTGGTCTTCATTGTCGGAGGTTGGGAAGGTTGAAAGGAGGGCCCAAGAGCCTAGACTATCAAAATGAGTCGAGAAACAAAAGCTGGTGCTTCCAAGTACATCTGGCGAATCAGCGTTTTCACATCTTCAAAGAAGCTTGCCGCACTCACAGCGATGTCTTGGTTTCGCAAATCCAAGCAAACAAAGTAGACACGCCGGCGGCTCTGGGGCAACCCGAACCACTCTGCATCTAGCAAAATACACTCCACAGCGTATCCGCGCTTCTCAATCTCATCGATACAAAGCTTCAGGTTGGACTCCCTCAAGGTGACAACAAGAGTTACATTTTGCAAGAAAGGCCGCGCAAACAACACATGACGCTGTGTGACTCCTCTCACTCTCTATCACGGTAAGAATTCTGGTGAGTCGGTCACATCCTAAATACAGACAGAGCACGAGGAGTCATCGGTTTCCCTCTCGATCGACTCCAAGCACCCGTTGAAGGTGCTTACGCTGGCCACTGTTTCCTTGGGCAAAACGACGGCCACTTAGTTCATGAACCTCATTTGTTGCCTCACCTTTTTTGCGCCTATAGCCTATTGCCTATAGCCTTTGGCATCTATTAAAAAATATATTAATTGTCAATTGACGGCTATTGGTTTGTCTTCTGAAAGTGCGGAAAAGAAACTGATTCCTCATTCTGATTCTGCTGTTCTTTTGCACGCTGCATTGCGCTAGCATTCTTTTTGGAGTGCATGTTTAGTCGGCTGTAGCTTGTGCACGAGAAACCCGCAGAAAAGGCATGGACCCGTTCAAGGTGACATGCTCGACCGTGTGTCACACAGTGCCTCTTCTCGTCAGATGACAGGGCTGTAATGTCCTGCCATGTTAATTTTAAAAACCAGACACTGAGGAAGTACAGCCACAGGTTCTGTCCTCAAACATGCAGCTGCTGGCATTCAAAGCATGCTTGCAGAAAGCCTGCTTCCACTCCACGTTCTCACAGGCATACGCCGCTTCGACCTAAGGTAAAGCTGAAAATGTTTTTGCTATCTTTTGCTAAGTCAAGATTCTAGAATCGATTCATTCATATAAGTAGTGGTATATAATTAAAACTATTATATAACAATATACAAAACATTTTATAACACAACATCAATTCAATCGTCGTTCTCATTTTCACTTTGTCCGCTGTACCAAGTCAGGCTGCTGTCATGTCGAGATTGAAGGCCGGCTTGAGACCTTGCACTGCACAGCGCATCGCATCCTCAAACCTGACCAAATAGAAAATGAAAATGTTTCCACATTCAATATTCAGAATCATCAGGTCTCTATGACTAAGACTATGACTCTGACTCTATGACTCTAGTCTATGAGTCTATGACTCTATGACTCTGGAATGGTTCATTGATGAGTTGATGAATAAAAACTCAAAACACAAAAAGTAGAAGACAAGTGGCGAAGCAGTGCCAGAACACCCTGAACCGGTGAGTAGCTCTGTGGGGTGGCTCTTCAGGTTCTCATAGATATTCAAATGACCATCAGTGTTCTTGGAATGGAACAGCAAGAGACGGGATACCATAACCTCCAAACAAACGACAACAGCAACAAATTTGAGTGTTTGCGCAGTGCATCTGAATCTTAAGTCTTAGGACAACAGCAACCTCTGTTAAGCTTAGTCGTTTGTTTTGTTTTCGTTCTTTTTGTTAGCCTTGGTTTTGGTTTTGGACACCGACACTGATACCGCCCGACACCTCAGCAGCTGATCCCATCACGTCTTCTGGATCTGGATAAGCGTCGACGGCCCTCCGGACCAATTCTTCAGCCTCTGCTACTGGAATGCGAGCATCATAAACATCACCAGGTTCAGAAATCTCATCAACCTGGCCATCATCAGCACCAACGCCCATACCTCACCAAGCAGTGAACGAGCAGAAAGAAGCAAAAGGGCAAGTCAAAAGGGCAAGTCAATGTGTTTGGAACAGCATCATGTTGCATGCCAGGCTGCTGGCACATGCCGCTTCTTTCTGATCAAGCCTCTTTGTCACTGTCTCAGTATTGATCTTGGAATGTGGGGATTTCTGGAACCAGCGAAGAAAGTGCACCAGGTCCTCTACCGGGTCGCCTTCTGGATCTCCGTAGCTGTAATCATCATCCACAAACTCTTCTGCTTTCAGAAAGTGAAAATACTCAGCAGAATGCTCAAATTTTTCACTCTGGATATCTCATCTTCCAAGCAGTAGGGGCAATTCTCATCATTCATCAACGAGTTTGCAATGAACTCCGGGTCGCAATTGGACCACCATTCCATAGCCGCCTGTTTTGATTCTTCTACTTCCACTTGTTCCTGTTTGCCCTCACCTGCTGTCTCCTCTGGCGCCATCTTTCCAAAATACTTGTTGAAGTGTTCTTCACCAGCTACTCCTGCCTTCATGTAGGCCTTGACTGTGTCCCGGAGGTAAATCACGAAGCTCTCAAGGTTGGAAACCTGATGAGCACTGCTTGATGCAAAACGTGGCTGGTGAGGTTTCTCCAGTAACTGGGAAGACCAAAACTCCCTGAACAACGGATGCCCTTGGGCTGCACTGAGCGCACTGATAAAATCCTCCTCAGAAAGCAAATCAAGTTCTGCAGTACTCAGCCCATAGTGCCAGCCGGCTAGAATGGCCGGCCATGCCTCAGCCAGATCAATTGGCGGTTGGCCCTTCTGTATCAGGAAGGTGTTGAACTTCTTGAAATCATTGTGTGGCCAGCTTCCGAATGTCCATCCTGACTGGATGTATCTTGGCTCTTCAATGTTGGTGTAGACATCCTCAATGAACTCGTTGAACATGGGATGGCTGCGTACACGTAGAAGAAGATCCGGAAAAACATAGTCGTCAGTTGAGTCATAGTCAAACATGGCGGCCTCATATTGCCGAAGGAGTTTGCTGATATCAAGCAGCGGTGCCTCTGCGTTTTTGAGGTAGCTGTTGAAGTGTCTGATGTTTCTCACAGTATCCACTTGCTTTCCATCTCCGGGGTGTGTCCAATCGAAGTGAATGAACGGTTTGTGTTTCTGACAAAATTTCAAGTATGCTGGAAACAGGTGGTGTTGTTTCACAGCTGCCACACATTTTGCCTCATCCTCCAAGAACACTTCAACAAACTCAAAATCTGTTTTTGCTGATGCTGCTGATATTGATGTTGCTTTGTGCTTGTTTGCTGTTTCCAGCGAAGCTGTGCTGCGGGTGTTGCCCATCTTGTCCAGTGTTGCTGCTGGATGTGTTGCTGCCTGCTGCTTTGCTGGGTCATCTGGTGATGTGTATCCGTGTTTGG